TTCTGGGAGGCATAGTGACGTCACTATGGCGCCCAGAAGAAGGGACCCTGCGTGGCCTTGAAACGTTGGCTGTTTGACGCATGTGACGATTGAATAGAAAGTGCTTCTTGCACATATCATCGAGTGCTGGTGACTTCTGTTATGGGCGGCAGATCATGACCCGTCGCCCGGCTTCCCGATTGCCTTTGAAGCCAGTGTTCTAGCAAAAGAACACCGGCTTCACTTGCCGAGGCCGCCTGGCTTCCTGACCGAACAGGAAGCCCGGGATGCGAGTCATGATGTTCCGCCCGGCTTCCTGATTGGCTAGGAAGCCAGGCTGCCTAGTAACAAGTGAAGCCCGTTTCCTAGCCAATCAGGAAGCCTGGAGGTGGGTCATAACCCACCGCCCGGCTTCCTGATTCAGACATCCCAACCTGCAAAACCTTATTTCAGGGAGGTTCCCGTCTCATTTCAGGGAGGTGCCCTTTCTGTTTTGTTTTTTTTCGTTTTTTTACAGCAGCCATCATCAGAATATAAAAGAAATAATAATGATAATTATATATATATATATAAAACGCTGAGGAGTAAAGTCCCTGATACACAGTTGACTAGTTGCTATGGGCAGCAAATTAAATAAATGTTCTCTATAACTAGACAACCAGCACTCTCTCAACCCTGCAGCAGTAGATCTCAGTGCCTGTACCTGCTCTCAATAGTAGTCTATGTCCGCCCTCTCTGTGCAGCAAGTAGCTTCTTCCTTCTGAGACAGAGCCAAGCGAAAGGTTTACTCAGAGTAAACCTTTCAGGGAGAAAATGCATCTCTCGAGGACATCAGGGAGCCGCTGTCTAATTGAGGGAGACTCCCTGAACATCAGGGAGACTTGAGATCCCTGCTGATTGGAAAGGAAGCCGGCTCCATGCTCCCTTGGCACTGCCGGGCAGAGGAAGATCTCCCTCTGGCCGGAAGTTCTGGTATCGGAGGTAAGTATCGGAGCATTTAGAAAGTATGAGTACTCGCCCAAATACTTGGTATCGGCACTGATACCGATACTAGTATCGGTATTGGTGCATCCCTAATAAATAAATATATATAATCGGGGGAATTTATTAAAACTGGAGCAGACAAAATCTGAAGCAGTTGCCCATGGCAACCAATCAGCTTATGTCTTCAGTTTGTTCAGTTAAGATTTAAAAACGACAGACAGAAGCTGATTGGTTGCCATCCACAGCTGTTCCAGATTTTTTCTGCTCCACTTTTGATAATTTTCTCTCTTTTTTTAACAGATTTCAGCAGTATTATTGTTTCTCTATCTTTGTGCTCGTTCTTCAGTTGCTCAAAATTTGCACAAATTGCTTTTAACTGTCACTTAGCATGCAGACACCTAAGAATTACTGAATCAATTTCAATGGATGACCTAACCTTAGATTTGGTCTGTTTGTACACCATTTAGGGGGAAGCTTTTTAAATGGCCAACATTTTTCAGTAACGTAATATCGGAAAGTATAGAAGTTACATGATGTTAATACGCATAAAGCTCTTCCTTCCTTAAGGTATAGCTCTTTATACTATAATGAGTGGCTATACAAAATGACAGGTACACTTTAATTTTAAATAGCGCAAGAGGAACAAAGGAGGATGGAAGACATTGAAACCTTTTGTGGTTAAAAACACAAAAGAAAATGAACATTTTCATCGCCCGACTTGTCACTTATGAACGTTCCAGCCCCGGCTTGGCGTTAATTCTTTATTAAACCTCAAAAGCCAAGTGTAAGTAAAGTTAAAATGGGCATTCTCAGGTCTTCCAAGATTGGTAATAAAATTCTCATAACTGGAGTTTATGAGGCGTGTAATATGCCTGATGCAAATATTATGGCTTCCTTAACGCCAAAGCCAACTTTCTTCAGCCAGATCTACTATGAGGAGATACTTAAAATATGATATTGTGCCGCTATACCCATTTTATTAGATTAGCTGATGATAATGAAACCATTCAGGTTTTTTTTTCCCAATTTTAATTTTGCGGTAACAAGATGATTTGCTATTGGCGGTGTTCAGCTACATCAATAAAGAGGTGGGGTAAATAATCTCAGGGGTCAATCTAATAGAAATGGAAGAAATTAGGTAAGAGTAGTGTGGCCTGGACCGCCTATCTGGCCGTTTGGAAATTTGCAACTAGGGCTCATCTCTAAAACAGTCATGGGCAGACCTACCACTGGTGCCCGAGGCAGGGGGGGCTCAGTGAGATCCAGTCCGGGCCGCCTCCCCATTGGAGGAAGCAATGATCCGAAGGGGCTCTGTGGCCCGGCTGCAGTCTATGCCTCACGAAGTGTCGGCAGACGCGTTCTCCTGGCCTTCTTGACTGCTCTGCTGGGATGATGGCAGTGCGGTGATTGGAACAGGCTGGAGCACCGGTGGAGGAGATGGTGAGGAGCCAGCTTGGAGGATCAGGGCTGTCATGGCAAAGCTGCTCTTGTTGTTGTACACAAGCTGGTGATGCCATATGCTGCAGTGTGTATGGGTGGTGCAGTGGCGGGTGGTCATCAGACAGACTTCTGGGGGAGCCCAGAAAATATCTTATTTGTTAGCTGCAGTTGTAGGTTTGTGCGAACTACACAGTCTTGTTTATCAAAGGAACTTTATTTTGTAAGCATAAAACACCTTCTATTCATTCATTGAGAATTGCAGATGTGAGAACTCACCAATAGCGTTCCCGGGCAGAGAAAGTCAGGTCACTAATCTGGCTACTCTGTCTGGCAGGGCTGTGTAAATCTCAGAATTACAAATCAGGTAAGCAGCACCAGGTATGAGTTTCAAATGTGTATGAAGCTGCTTTCCTGGAGTTATGAAAGTCATGATAGCTATAGGGTCTTAAGTAACTTTAAAATAACATATACCTTCAACGGGAACATTATTCAGGACCCCTGTATACCTCATTATGCATACAATTATCCAGTCAAACAATCATGTGGCAGCAGCATAAACTCATGCAGATACAGGTCAGGAGCTTCAGTTGGTGTTCATATCAAACTCTAAAATGAGGGACACATGTGATCTTGGTGATTCTGAACATGGCATGATGGTTGGGGTCAGACATGCGGATCTCCTGGGATTTGTTACAGATCAGCTGCAGAGCTGATCTGTGCTTCTCTGCTTTGCATTTGTTTTACCTGTTTGCTGCTGTGGGTCTGCTGGCACCTGTAGTTCCACTAGCATGTGCTCTCCTCTTGCTGCACTGTTAGCAGCTATGGGTGTCTCCCACTTCACCTGAGGGTTAATATACCCTTCCTCCCTGCTTACTTCCTGTCCTGCCTCCTATCTGTCTCCCTATTTAAATCCCTCTCAGACCAGCTTCTGGTTGCTTGAGCAACTCTTGTTCCTGAGCCCCTTCCGTGCAGTTAACAATGAACAGATCTGCCTTTGTATGATTGTGCTAAGGTTTCCTGATGTCAGCCGTAGCCAGAAATATTTCAAGTTTGGCAAAATTCCCATCTCAGATGTACAAATAAATAAATAAGGAAACGGAGGTCTACTTCCATGTATAGGGCAAATAAAGTGATCACCTTTTTAGTAATGATATTAGAGGCTTCAAAACGAAGCGAATAATCTAAAATAGCAGTTAACAGCTTGCCGTGTCGTCGATCAATGCCATTTAAACCCGGAATGACCTTGAGATGGAATAATCAGGTCGGTTTCATTGAGCATCAAAGGAAAAAAAAATTGAAAAGCCTGTAACATTGACCTATTCCTGGCTGCAGAGAGAGGTCTATAAATTCCTTTATAAGTAAGTTTGCCTCTGACAATGTCTGCCGAAAGATTGCTTGGTAAAAGGCAAGTGAAAATATACAAAGGGAGGGCTATTGGGGAGGAAGTCATTGGCTTGTTCACTATTTTTTAAGTATACCTGTAATACTGGAGAAAGTAATACTCTGCAAAGATGTTGTAAAGGGACGGCAGCGGAGGGGGGTATATTATAATAAATGTTATTGTTTTAGGGTATTTTGGGAGGGTAATGTAGTTGATGCCTCACATATGGTTAAAGGAGAACTATGGAGTCAGTCATTTGGGGGCGCTGATATGTCATTACAACTGGGCGGAGCCAGCTGTGAGATCACAGCTGGCTCCGCCCAGCTGTCATTTGCGGGGTGAAAGGCCGGCCTTCGGCAGGCCGTTTCCCCCGCTTCGGCCGTCACTTCGGCTCAGTCGGCTCAGTGAATAGCCTGTACAGAAGCCCTTTGGTTCGAATAAACCAAAGGGCTCCCCTTCGGCTGATCCTTTCGGCTAGCTTCGTGACTAACCCTCTCAAATTTAGTGAGCTGAATACATTCCTGGCGTATGAAAAGTGCTCATTTTGTTTTTATTACAAATCAGCCACAGCCTGAGTACAAAAGCCTGTCCCCTGCCAGCTGCTGCAAAATGGGACCCTTGGTCTAGATGGAGAGGCAGCGATCTCTTTGCAGACGTCTAACACACCTCCTGCTGAGTCATACCCCAAGTCCTCCAATCAGCAGGGAGCTGACTGAGCAGGGGGACCACTGCTTCTGCACAGTGGCCACCGGTTCTTCTCCACAGCATGCTGGCAGGCGACCGACCTTTCTACTCAGGCTGTGGCTGCTTTAGAAAGAAAAGGAACTGTAAGACTTTGCACACCTTTTGTTTTAATGCATCTGGAATGTCTGTTGTTGACTGATCTGACTTTTGCAAAGTGGAAGTTTAATCTGGCTTTAAGTCATGCCCATCTTACATTGCTTATATTTCAAAGGGATGATTGGTACTCTGCGAAAGTGTCTGATCCATCAAAAAAGTATTGCAATGCATATAAGATTCGAATGAAAAATGCATGTGATTTTAAGCAAGTACATGTGCCGGGGTCATAAACTGTCAGTTGATAGAACAAAGTTCTGTACAGAACTATAGCACAACTCGTATATAGAGTAGTTAACCAATGACTAGCTCTGACATTTTTGTTATACATGTTTAGTAAAATAGTAAAATAACACTTTTTTTTAAACTTTTTTTTTAGCAAAGACAATGGCGCCAACATCGGTCAACCTTCAGGAATCTCAGATAGGACCGGCGGTATGTATATTCCGTGAGGTTTCATGGTGGTGGCAGTGTGGAGGTGCAGACCTTGGCATTTTAATGAGGACAGCGACGCCTATAAATGTACATATTCAACCCACTACCATCCACCCACATTGGGACATTAGATTTGGGTTTACTTAGATTTCAGAATAGTGTACTTCCATCCTTACAGCGCTTAACAAAGGTTTGTAATTTTGGAACCATTATTTGTGGCCTCAGTTGTTCCCTCAGGGAATCCTGCCAGGCCATTAATTTTAACAAAATCATTGTGCATTATGTGCATATAACAGATTTTGATGCATGTTATTTACCCGGATATAGCCCCCATTGTGTAGACATTTAAAGCCCTGGGGCTGCTCTTGGGTGTCCCCATTTTGGATGTGATGTCGGCAGCCCCAGCATACTCAGAGCTGTCACTCAAGTGACACTCTGTAATATTCCCCTTCAATCATTCCCTGGCAGCTATACTTGTTATATAGAGAGGGCAGGGGCAGAGCTGGGTCAGCTCAGAGAATAATTAGACATTCCCAAAAGAGGAGTGGGCTATGACCTGCAAGGAGGAAGGAGGCTATGGTAGGGAATTGGCTCTTCGTGAGTAGTAAAATTTTCTCGCACGTTTAAAGGCAGACTGCAAATGAGTAAAAAACATTTAAGGAAAGGAAAAACGCTGCAAGCGTGTAACATACTTGATTTTTTGTGCTTTAAAGTTTTTAACATGGTCCTTTTAATTCCAGTTGAAGCCTTACACCCCTTTATAATGCTGTACACCTCATGTTATAATTTTTTGACTAATTTATGCATGGAAATATCTTAAAATACTTTTTGTCTCAGTGAAAATGCTGCTTCCTGCCCTGACACTGCCATGTTCTGTGCTGGCAGAGCTGAGTAAAAGCCACACCCCTCACCTCATTACAAGTGTCCACACATAGATGTAACCAGAGAAGGGGAGGGGGTAGGATTGCACCTATACCGGTTTTTCGGTATCGAGTACAAGTACCCATACTACTTTCTCAGTACTCGCCAATACCAAATACTGATATCGGAAGTCCTATTAAGGAAGCCAGGCGACGTGTAATGACTCGCCACCTGGCTTCCTGATTAACCGGGTAGCCGGGCGTCGTGTAAACACACGCCACCCGGCTTTCCGATTACTGATTGGCCAGCAAGCCGGCTCCATGCTCCCTCGTCACCAAGTGACACGGAAGCATAGAGCCAACTTCCCAGCCAATCAGGAAGCCGGGCAGCATGTAATGACTCGCTGCCTGGCTTCCTGATACCGGAGGTTCAAGTATCGGGCTAGGCATCGGAGCATTTGGGCGAGTACGAGCACTCGCCAAAATACTCGGCATCGGCACCGATACAGATACTAATATCAGCATCGGTGCATCCCTACGAGAGCATATGTCTGACAAGTTCTGTTAGTGAGCGCTAATTACCTAATCTATCTTTGATGCCTATTGGGCTGTAATATTTAGACATCCTACAAAACTGCTGTAGCAGACGAGTATAGTCGAGACTATAAAAATTGAGATTATTAGTACAATGTCTATCTGAATGTGTATCTATTTCTGTGACTTTAATTGGACTGCAAAGTTCAGAGAGCGTTTTTGCTGTTATTTGGTACCTCCCTACATCATGTGTCATTTTTTTAGCTATACCTTCCTCATCATTGGTGTATATTTCAATCCTTCAAGAGGATCTGTCACTCCCTTTATATGTACACATCTTATTCCTTGGGGGAAAAAAACCCCACCGAGGCCTTTTGTCTTCTTGCATACCACTAGCATTGTCAATGTATGAGCTTTCTATGCTGGGCTTTTCATGAAGTCCACCAAAAATATGGAAAATTGAACCAACCAATAAAGGTGACAACGCATGGCCGGCATACCCATTTCAGATGGTGGTTTGGGTTTTGTAGCTGTGACAAAAGTATATTTCTCATATATACCTTCCAGAGAACTTCCATTTACTCTTGTGATAATATTGTGGTTAGTGTTGAATTTCCAACAAGCCCACATCCTAAATTTGAGAAATGCAGCACTAACCTTTGTGTACATGTTGATATTTAACTTTTACAAAATCCACTGAAATAGAAATGTTTTGTTTTTACTGTAGCTGTCGATATCCCAGCTGACTACATCATCTCGCTATCCAACCATAAGTCACTCATCTAAAATACCTTTACAGCAAGTCCCCAGCCAGCTCATTCCTTCACCAATGGCCTTTCAGCTGTCTCATGCGGTAAGTCTTGTTATTTAAAGAGAAGCTCTGCCGTTCCAGCTCAGAAATTTGAAACATCAAAGTTGCTTTCCATGTGCTGAGGCAACGCACTGCAACCCCCAGCCTAGCATTGGATGCAAGTCGCAAAGGCCTTTTTCGAAGTCACGTGAGCACCACTTTTGAGAGCTTTTAAAAGTAAAAAAAGGGCAACTTATAGATGTTTTTTAGGTGTCTAGGTGTACTGGGAGCATGAGGGAAGGAGGTATGATTAATGATCTTCGAAACGGGCTTTCAGTTTATAATCCAGACATTGCTGTTGTATGCCAGTCATCCCCACCCCGTTCTTTTGGGACTCTAGTGATCTGGGAACCCCTGTTTGTGGTGCAGGAGAGGTGTTCTCAAGCACACCTACTGTAGGTTGCTTGCAAGTAGGAGAAAAAGCCATGCATGTTTGAACTGTTCACCATTTTAGGGACCATGTGGACCCCAAACCAACATAGTAAACATTTTCACCCAGTTATTTATTTATTACTGTTATTTTGCCCATTCAGGGAAAAGTGACAGCATGTTTCTATGGACCTGTCCTGCCCCAATTATACTCGCTTTGTTTCACGTACCTGGTTGGAGACTGAATCCTGTGTCCAAGCAGACAGCGAGTGGCACGGGTGCCACTGGTGATTACACCGTGCAAGCTGGAGTCCAGGTGCTGGGTGAAGAGCAGAGCAGGATCCGTAATCAGGGTCAAACGAGCCAAGGTCACACCAGTCGGGCAGGCAAGGTACAAAAGGGATGAGGCAGAGGCAAAGTCCAGTAAACGATCAAAGGTCAAGGGCTGGCAGCAATCAAGAATGGTCACGATCAATCCAGGTCAGAAGTCAGGCACTACAAGGCAGAAGAACACAGGAACACTGGGGAGCTGAAAGATAATCCAGCAACTTGGAGACAGGCAGACTTGGTTTAAATAGTGTGATCCATTAGAGCACCGCGTCACTTCCGGTGCGCTGTTTGGCGCGCAAGTTCCTGTTTTCCAATGGCATGAAATCCGGGACCACTGGGAATGCGCAGTAACAGATGGTCTCTGACACTTTGCCAGCAAATGCAGATTGCTCTAGCCTTCATTGCCTCCAGATAAAAAACCCAGTGCTTCCAGGTATGGGGGAGCATGTGACCTCCTACCACAAACAATGTACAGGTTTGACAGCCAATCGATACGTCCAAGTGCTGTCACATGACAGAGGGGGTGAGGTGACCACTTTGTAGGTAGGTGCAGTATGGCCAACGGCCACTAGATGCCCCCATGGGGCCCTGGAGATAGATGCAGCTCTGGCCTGAGGAGACTCTGTGTCCCAGGAGAGTTGATTTATAGGGGGCGCCCGAGAGGGGAGGGGTGCAGTTCAGAGGAGTACAGAAGAAGTCTAAGACTGTCTGCAGAGTCTCTGGAGAGAGACTGTTTCTTGAATATAGGCTGGTCCATGGGAAAGACAGGCCAGGCCTAGGACTATGTAGAGCTACAAAGATTCCCTAGTTTCCCCACAGGGGGAAACCCACCGTGCTAGAACTGACAATGGATGGGATTCCGGAGAATAGTGAAGTGCTAGGAGACTGACGATATTTACCAGTGGGCCTATGGCCGAAGTTAGACGTGGACTCTGAGCTGCACCTGGGCTGACGTACCTCTCTCTCTAAATTGTAACACCGAGCAAGTAACAAGTGATGTGCCGCCACCCCACTCGGGGGTGGCTGAAATGTATGCTTCATACCATGTTCATTCTTTCAAGTAAAACCAACAAAAAGACTATCTGTGTGGACTGGTTCTTCTCCCTCCAACCTCTGAGAAGGTGGGGTTCTACAGGAGTGTGATGTTGGACTGTAGCGTGGCTGTAACCATCTGAGGAGGGTAGGTGCGCAATGGGGCTATGCCTGACACAGGGTGCCATTCATGGTGGCCTTTCTCCCTAAGGGGGAGGAAGCGCCGAAGACCGCAGAGGCGGTTGAAGCCATGAGGCCCTGTGTACGCAGTACTACACGTGTGGGAGTGTTTGCACGAGGCCAAGGCCATGGCCCCTGACCGTGGGGTGTCTGGTTTCGAGTTGCATGCACGGGGTTACCCAGCCAACCAAAAGGGAACACGCACGCAATACCCCGAGAGTGAACCCCGCCTACAACTTAACGTAGCCCCTGACACAGGTGACACAGTTCAATCCAGTGCCAGCTGAAACAGAGGCATGAGTGGTGTGGGATCACTGGTAATGGAAGTAGAACTAGGGCAGAAACACACTGTCACTTTGACCCCAATGGGCAGTGTCTTTTTTAAGGGGTCAGTGTTGATGGAACTACTGCTTAGTGGAATTAAAGCCCAATTTCAGCCCAAACTTTTTCTTTTAGTATTGTTCTGAATGCAGGTTTTTGACTGAGCTAGCACATTAACCAAATAAGCTGAGCCAGTAAAAAACAAAGTAGGCCAATGAAAGGGTGATAGTTTGTCATTGCATGAAGTGCCCGACCCCATCTCAGATTTAAACCATGTTATTTCACTGCAGAAAGGTAAAAAATTATAACTTTGGAATAGAATTGTGGGTTGGGCAGGTGGCCTAATGGAGAGATGTATACATTTATCAGTTGAAATGATTGTATTCATCAGTGCCCAGGGATAAGAAAGCAGCTTAATAACTAATATTATTGATTACCAGAATTGCTCAATATTTGTGTTGAAAGGAAGGTACTCCGAATAAGTATAATCATATTTAAGAATTTTTCAATAGAGTTTTTTGGGGGCTTTGGGTGATAAGGCTCTGAAAAAAAATAAGTTATGAAGGTCAACAGGCTAAATATAGAGACACATTTCCAGTGTTTCAGTTAATTGAATAATGTGCTGTATTTAGTTTGTTTTAATGTCATTTTTGTACCTTTTTGTACTTTTTCATCATGGTTTTGTAGATTTGATGCATATAAAAGTATAAAACAAAAAAGCAAAAACCCTCAACAAGCAGATGGGTTAGAATTTTATAGTAGGTAGTAGGAAACATCTGATCGGTTGGCTTTTTGTGTCATAGAAGACAGCAAGAAAAGTGTACAGTTTATGGCTGTTAAGTAGTTAAAGTGAACCTAATTTTTGGTTCGTAAGTTTGCAGAGTTTTCTTTGGAACCTGTCAACCTTCTCCTCTTGTTCTTCTGTCCTGGGGCTGAGCTGACTACACAGGAGGAGATTTGCATCCCGGACCTGGCATTAAGCAGCCTGAAAGGTTTCTCTGGTAGAATCGACGCTGTTCCGTGACAGCTGAATTATTTATTTACATACGACAACAACTAATGGTACATTAGAAATTCACCGGCGTATGCGCTCAGTCTATAGCTTCCAGCTCATTGACCTTCACTCTTCACTGTACAATCTACTGCGCTATACACTCCACGTAATGCCTCCTACAATGAATAATTAGGCAGTCCTCACACTTTATCCACTTACAGATGTGTTAACTCTTTCCAAGAAAAGACCACAAGGGGGAGAATGTCAACTTTTCTTTCTCTTTCTACTTTACTTTGCTTACTTTGCTTTTCTCTTTCTTTCCTTTTTTTTTTCTCTCTTCTCCTTTTCTTCTTTTCCTGACCTCATTTCCTTCCTTTCCTTTTCCTCTTTCTTTCCCTTTATATTTTCCATTCTCCTCCTTTTCTTTTTTTCTTTCCTTTTCTCTTTTCTACTTTTCCTTTCCTTGTTTCTTTGCTTTACCTTTCTTTCCCTGTTCCTTTCCATCTTCCTCTCCTCTTTTTTCCTAACCTCTTTCCTTTCTCCTCCATTTTCCCCTCCTCTCTTTTCACCTCCTCTTCTCCTTTCCTTTCTTCTTTCCGTTCACACAGGGGCTGTTGTCTGTGCGTATTCGGACGTACGAATATGCGCTGAGCTGCTCTAAAAATAAAAAACAGTGCACTTAAATGTGCATTTTTCAGACTCTTGCGTCGGCTGCGCGCTACAAAATCGTGCGGCCTGCAAAATAGTGCAGGTACAGTGCTTTTGGCGGATTCCGCACGTTTGCGGCTATATAATATATATAATAGCCGCAAACAAGCGTAATCTATGCAGTTTTTAAAAATATAGCGTTTGTGCCCTGTGCTGGAAACGCAAACGCTATATGTGAATGGAGTCTTACTTATTATTCTCCTTAGCGTTTCCCCTCCTCTACTCTTTCCTCTTTCTTTTCCTCTCCTTTCCTCTTTCTTTTTCTTTCTTCTAACCTCTTCTTACCACTTCTGTTTCTTATTTTATTTTCTTCTCTATCTGCCTCTCTCTTCTCTTTTTGTTCCTCTCCTCTTTTCCCCTCTACTGTCCTGTTTGTCTTCTCTCTTCTTTATCCACTCCTTTTTCTCCTTTTATGACACTCCTCTCTTCTCCCTTTTCCTTTCTTCTCCTCTTCTCACTATCATCTCCTTTCCTTTCTTCATTCCTCTATCTGCCTCTCTCACTTTCCCTTTCCTCTTCTTTTCCCTTTATTCTCCTCTTTCCTCTCTTCTCCTTATCCATCTACTCTCTTCTACTGTCCTCTTTCCCCTTTTATTACACTCCTCTCTTCTCCCTTTTCCTCCCCCCTTTTCCTCTCTTCCCCTCTTCTCTTCATAATGTATTTACTTTCTCCAACCTCTTTTGTTTCTTCATTCATTTCCTTCATACTTTTCTTTTTTCCCCTCACATTACACCTCATCCCTAGTTTTATTTATCTGCATTTGCTCTTGATCTCTTTCTGTGCATATTCCTCTTTACGTATGCTCATCACTGCCTCAGATATGTCAGAACATCTTGCTGGTTTGCACCCCATTAGATACTGCTGATTTTCTTAAGTATCAGAAATTGTTTCCAAATGCTCCCACTGAGCAGTTATGTTGCAGTTTTTTCCAGATAAGACAGGTTATCCTGTCCGCTGCTTTTTACACCTGACTTAGCATGGCAACCAGACTTCAGAGAGCGATGTGGAATGCTGGTTGCTAGGGTGGGACAGGTGAAAGCCGTGGAATGCTCAGGATCCCGCAGGCAA